TATATATATATATATATATACTATATATATATATATATACTATACTATATATATATATATATATATATATATATATACATACTATATATATATATATATATATATATATATATATATATATTTATTTATACAATATCGTACCTGTTGGCGTGAGTTTCGGCTCAAATAACAGAAGATCATTTTTCTCCGCGTGCGTTAGTCCAAGATCAACAAACGAGTACATGTTTTCACCAACAACCCAGTGGCGTCGTTGTGTAGTGTTTATCGTATTCACATCAACATACGCTTCACCGAATAAATTCGCGCGCGGCCCAGAGTATATTGCCTTACTGTTCGAACCTCTCCCATCAAAATGTAATTCGAAGTAGTAGAACAGAAATATAAACGTTATCATAATACCCGCAAAACCATTCGTTTTGCGACGTTTGGTAGGGTTGGTGACGAACATGATTAAACACAAATCATATGCCTCAGACACCTCAGGCATGCGAATTGAGTATGTTCGCGTTCAATTACTTTTCGAATCTGCTCCCCATTTGACCATATCGCAGAGCTACTATCTCCGACTGCAATCAAGCGGGAGCTGGGCGATAAGAAGGCTACCTCTCTGTAGTTGCATGCTTGTTTTGATGAATAACTGGTATTTATTGTATATTTCGTTCTTCAAGCTAATATTCTAGGTAGGTGTTTTTAGGTCTCTTTGTGTACACATCTTTACTACTCAATGATAAGTGGCTTTACACGTGAAATCGTCACCACGGCAACCTAGCGAAAACTGTCTAGATGTACCTTTCCTATTGGTCGTTGTCTTTTGGCGGCAAAAATCCAAGCTAAACCCTATGTTTTTGTTTCACTCCTCGCGTTCCAACTGGTGACGATATAGATTTCTATCAGGGTTCAAACTGACGCTCAACTCGTATCTGGCATGTGATAGATAGACTTCGCTCTCAGTTTGTAAAGTGGACCCGTAGACAGACTAGAAGAAAAGTACAGCAGCTTCTCAATCTTCTCTATATGGATGTGTACACAAAGTATCAACATCTGAAAATAGTCAACGCGAAAGAATATCTCATTTCCAGTTCAGATCGTCACAGATTGTCAAGTGGCTGAGTCTACTACACAGATAGGTGGGTAAATAATCGAATTGAAGTTAGGAGGCAGTAATGGAAAAGTATACCAATATCTATTTCAATATCAGCTTACACCATCAACAGCAATCAACTGTAATTATTGCTATTCATGCGGTAGCTAAATCTCTGTTTTTATTGTTCCACTACGCGAGAATTTAATAGCACCATAAGTTTACAAAACGAAGATATTAATACTCTATATATATCTTAACAGTTCAGTGAGAGACTCAAGTATGCTTATATGTTTGGCTGCACTGCTCGACTGATCACTGATAGACACAGAAACATTGCTAACACTGAAGGTAATTTCGCTCTGGGCAGTAGTGCATGAGAGCGATACAACAGCATGACTTGCTAATATACGGGCTAGAAAAATAGTCCTCAGTGAGCCACAATGGGCACACTGCAAAATGTTGGATCCTTTGGGGCTAGAAAACAGTCTGATACCAGTATACACTACAGAAGGCACTGAAACTGAAAACATTGACCAATATTCGACGTAAACACATGATGTAAATAAGGAATGTGAGGGCCATTCAGTAAAAGTCGAAATGCAGAATTAATTCGTTGTTTCTGAGGTGCGATGAGTGAGGGAATTCAATGCAGTAAGCTCAAGGGTGACAGCTTGTTCGTATATAAGAAGTACACAACCGGCACGTGGCCGTCTGAGCCGCTGCTCGCGCAGCGTGCAATTTTTTTCCAGATCTTTTCACAGTAGCTGTTGCTACTCTGGTGACTGTCTATTTAATTTGATACTAAAACACGTGGAAAAAAAATAGTATAGCTGAATCTGATACAACCAATGAAGTATTTTGACGAATTTGCTATGTCTATTTTTTTTAATATTTATGAGAGCTGTCTGATGACATCCAATTCTCTGACGGCCCAGGCGACGCTCAAGTGGTTCCCTTTCGCCTCTACGGATTGGTTCCATAGACCCAAACGTTGGTGTTGCGTCTCCGACTCGGACCACTGCTTTCGCAGCTCTGAGGTTATTGTAAAGGCCTGCGTGTAGTCTGATTACCGTGGTGATAGAATAAACCATCAGTATCGAGTGGATACGGCATAAAACAATGGATAGATAGTGTTTCAGCAAGACTTCACACTTCAAAGGCTATACATACGTCAGTCAATGTACTGTATCTATTGTCGTGGCTGGCTAGTTTTGTTGGATGAAGCAGTGGTATATTCACCTCCCAGCGTATAAAAGTCGGACCAACCTCTAGTGTATATAAACTAGGCTAACTTTTAGCTTATTTTCAACCTTACACAGATTCGCCCGAAAGCGTAGCGCAGAAAAATTTATATCTTGCTTAAAATTCAGCAGGTATTTGTGTGCAGATCGAAAAAGTAGTGTAGGATGCATGTATTAAACATTTATAACGCATTTTAAATAGTAGTGTAGAACGCATATTAAATTGGTGGTGAGTGCATATTGAGCAAAGAAGTGAATCATTTCACGTAAGAGTAGTTTATTCGCGTATCATTGCGATATACTTTTAGCGGCTACAACAGTGCGAGAGCACCTTTACCATTCTACCAGTCAACGACATCATGTTGTATTTGCCTAAACACAGGCAGGTCATGAGTTATCTAAATGTTCCTTTGCGTACCATTGGCACAACAACAGTACGCATGTATATATTGGTCTGATTGTATTATTGCAATGTTGTTCATTTTACATAAACGCACACGTACACAAAAAACAAAACAACCCCCCCCCCCCCCGCCGCCCCTCATAATTGTGCTTCTATATCGTCATATCATATGACTACTCGGATAGATTTTGAAACGACAAATTGTACTTTTGTGCATGTACCATGCAGTCACACAGGTAGACGATAGAACAAGACTATGTATAAACGTTTAAGGCTGTGAATCTCTCAAGTCTGTTCCCATTCATATTCTACTACATATACCCAACGAAATGCGTGTGAGTTCAGTGCACACAGGCTTATATTTGAGTATAACCTATAAACTATTGAACTATATTATACAACAAAATAATAAGAACTCTGGCTAGCTCACCTTTGGCATACACATTCGAAGGCGTTAGAAGTGAGTTTTCGTCGCGAGTGTCATTTGAATCGCTGCCATCGTTTTCACTCCAGTCACTGTCGCTCAGATCCAGCACATCTTCTTCATTGCCTCGCCAACATGCACGCTCCGAGTCAAAGATCATTCCTTTTACCTCCTACACACAAGCATGTTGATTTCTTGGTATGCACGTTTTTCTCAAGGGGTTATATCGTTCCATTCATGGCTTGCACGCGGAACAAATGCATACACATTTACCGAAAATAACTATTTCTAGCACCACCTACATACTTGGGTATCAGTTTGACGCACAAACGTATACTCTGGAGAGATCAACTATATAACGTGATGAAGCTTACATTCTACAACAATCCGATGAGCTATTCAGACCGAGACACGAACCATAAAACGGGGTGCAAAGTGCTTACACAGCAAACACACCGACCTTTGCTGACAAGCAAGAGTTAGTATAATATTATACGAATATATAAAACATTATTAGAAGGCACAGGAAGCGTAGGAGACCGTGTACACGAAGAAGGAAGTTCGATGCATGTTTAATACTATTCTGCAGAGACATTAAACGTTTGTTTGTTGTAGTTGCCGTCATCTGATGATGATTAAATACATGCGATGCAAGAACCTTTCTCACTAAGGCAGAAACATATTACTCTCGGAATCGTCAGGGGAAACAAACGAAGGGTAAAAGTAATCACACTTGCATCCTAAGGCTACCTACACAGTATGATAACACTGACATAATCTTACTGTAAAACAGCCTAATAGCGCCAAATTGAATGGGACGTACCACTTGTCGTATTCCGCACTAATTTACGTAGGCATACGTACGAATAGCAATGTAAAATTGGTCACACTACACATAGGTATCAGAGTGTTCATCACAGTCAAATCCCAGTACCGATGTAAAGTAATCAACTGAGAATGTCCGCTTATGCTCACAGTGTACAAAATCAGATGGTTAGGTATACAGCACAGTACCGTTCTCAGACGAGGTTACTCAAATGAATCCCTAAACCAGCAACCAACCTTAGATAGCGCGCCAGTCTTTCCCAGAGACGTAATCAGCGCCGGTACAGTCCGGGTAGGTCGAGCGGACAGTCTGGTGTCGTCAAAGTCTAACAGAGCCTCTTCGTTACCTTCCCAGCTTTGCGTGGTGGGGTTGTAGACCATTGAGCCAACCACTGCACATGTATGTTACAAAGTGGACAAGTACTGAGCGATAGTGAATGACCGGTGCATTGCTTGTGGGGAAACTTGTGTTGTGTAGGGTTGCGCTTAAAGTATGCGTGGCGTTGCGGCATCTTCGCTAGCTTGGAGATGCACGCGATGTGTCAGCTCTCATGCTGACTAAAATATAACTTAGATACTGAGGGGCTAGGTTTTCTATTACACATTCAGTGGTTGATCAGGTTCGGCAGATAGTAGTCAGCGAGAATCTATAAAACTTAAAAAAAATAAACACAACTCGCAGAGCAGAACTTACCTTGCCTACCAATGGGAGCCATGGTTGACTGTATCAGCATGGGCTCCGTACGCATGCCCTCACCCAATTGGGACGGGCGGGCTATGCGTAAGCACGGGTTCAGACGGTGGTCCAACGGCACTTTGGGCTGGTACATGTCGTGTAGCTGGCTATCCAGCTGAGTACCGAACATCCGCGACGCGCTGGGCGAATGCGCGACAGAGACAACGTCCCTGGTACCCACGGCATCGAAGGACGCCGAGCCGAGCCTCCTGTCGGTCAGTGTGCAATCGAACGATCCTGACGTACTCCTAATGCCAATGCCAGCCATTGCACGCCCAGCGGAGGATCCCAACATAGACCCGCTGTCATTGACATCACTCTCAGTGTCCGTGTCGAAATCAAAGCCATCGGACACATCCGTACAGCTGTCAAAGTTCGCGGGCTCTCGCGCGTCGGGCTGTGGCAAGCGTAGCCTCAGCTTCTCGCCTTTAGAGGGCAGACGTAGGCCACTGAGTTCCGGCGAGGTGATGTTCTCGGTAGTACCCCCGCTGGTGCAGGCCTGGTCGAGGTTGTCTGAGTGTGCGTGCCCTTCACCAGGGACAGCGCTTGTTTGAGATTGCGATTGTGACATGGTGTATGACATAATCGAGCTGGTGGTTGTGTAGTTATCATTCTCCCACTCGCCAGACAGACGATTCAGCGCGTCGTGCGAGGGCGGGCTGCTTCGTCCCTGCACCACACGCAGGCGCGAGTTGGGGCCAACTCCCATTTGCTTACTGGGATCATTCGCGCGGGCTTGCACCGCAAGCATATTCATAGTCAGACCGCCCGTGGGCAGTTCCACATCCTCCCAGCGCGACGCCAGACGCACCTGTTGAGGCCATTCGAGTCCCTGTTCATAGTCGGAATCCGAGGCTTCCTCCGCGGGTGTCTCCAATGGTGACGGCTGTAGTTCCGCCTGTTGCTGATCACCAGTCGTCGGGGATGCACTGATGAGAGGTCGGCTTCGGCTTCTGGCTGTGTCTGTATCACCTGACGCGTGTGATTGGAGGGCGGTTGCGAATAAGCCGGAAGTGCTTGTGGGGATGATGTGCTGTGGATGAATTGAACTATCGTTCTTCCTCTCCCATGACTCGCCCTCTCCGTATCCATTGCCCTGGTTCAGACACCCGCTTTCCTCTCGATCGAAGCGGGGGTTACCATTCCGAGCATCTGTGCCTTCGGCGCCTTCTGCCGTTATACAACCTGAGAACTGTATCCTTCTAGTATATCCTACGACAACCGAAGCATCGATGCGATCACATCCGTGGCCGGTTGCCCCAAAATTCCCGAGATCCAATCCCGCACTTTCGTCGATGGAACCTTCACTCACCGCCAGCGACGCCCAACGTCTCAGCCGGTCGTTTTGAAGCTGTTTGTCCGATACCGCAACTGGGGTGGGGAAGAGCTGTGGCATCTCATGCCCGGGAGAGTCATTTGGGTTGTTTGATGAGGTGGGACTCTTGTTGTCTATAGAGGATATATGCGTATCAGCTAGAGAACTTGTGGCGCCGAGTGCATGTGTTAAGCTAGTTCGGGATGTTTCATTGGTGGCAGAGGCCCTGCCGTTCAGCTCTGGCGATATTACGCGGGCACAGCTCAATGGTACTGTGACACCCAATCGATTGGCTATGTCGTTGTTGTTCACTGCACAACTGGTTGTACTAGCGACATTTTGTGGCGACCGAAACCAGTTTGAATCTGTGGCTGTGACCGATGCGAAGTCAGATGCGCTGATAAAGCCCATGTTCGACCTCTTCTGAGATGCGGATGGAGTATTTGGATGAGAGTGTAAGGGTGGGATGGAGGTATGTTTCGGGCTGTTGGGAAGACTGACAGGGTGGCTGGTGAGAGATTGCAAGTGTAGCGTCGCATTGTGGAAGTGTGGAGTGGGAGTGCTCTCCTGTCTGAGTATACTGGACCTGTGACTGGCGGGACTATTTGCCGCGCTTCCGGTTGTCTGCATGTAATCTTCTGCGCTTATAAACCCCCGCTTGCCCTGTATAGGCATCAAGGGCTCTGATCGCGTACCTACCGACGTTGTAGGTTGGGATAGACTTGCGTTCGTTTTCAATTTAAAGGCAAGGCTAGAGTTCGCTTTTGTTTCTCCGCTACTGAAGCCATGAGCAAGGATTGGTTTACTGATAGCCTCGTCGCCTTCACTGTCTGATCCCCAGTCCAGATCCTCGGTAACGTTTAAGGGGTGACTATGAGGCACAAGACCTTGGTTGAAATCCAGTTGAGGTGTATCGGAGTCCCTTCCTCGAGTTCGTGACAGACCATACACTTCGTCTGGGCATCCCAATCCCTCACTAAAGCTCGCCGCTACACGCCCTGTCAAATTGGTTTGTGCCAAGTCTTTAACTAAATCGACATGCCTATAAATCGACGTGACTGGCACTGTCGCACTGTTCAGTGGTTGCTTATGGGTTTGGGGTGCAGCTAAGTTCTCCGAAGAGGGTAATATATGCGAGTGTGTAGTCTGTCCCGGCAACGGATTAAATAGTGGCACGTTGTATGTCGACGCCCTCTGTTCCGGACTGTCAGTATTATATAAGCTTTTAGCGTACGTGTGATGTATCGGGGTTGGTGTGGACCGTTCCATTCTAGACGGCATTGCCAGACAAGTTTGTTGGTATCTCACGGCTGTTGTTGAGGGTGTTTCAAGCGGATGCGGTATAGGTGGTTGCATCATAATTTGCGTGTATGCTTGTTCCGTATTTAATGTGGTAGCACCGTGTGAGATTCCCTGATATGAACCGGTTGAGATATAGGACTGAGCTATATCACATCCTGGCCGTTCGTCCATGTTTATGACAGTTGTGCCGTGTGCCCCTTGGCCGTGGTAATTACTGTAAATCATACTGGTGGGTGTTTGGTACATGCGCGACGGTACAGACGAGTCTCTGGCCCATACACCGGCCGTCCCCAAATCCGGGGTTCCATCGTACCTACAGAGCGAATATGTGCCCGTTAGATGACTTTAGATGTGCATAATACAGAGATGCCTGTAAACTAAACAACCACGTTTGGCTTAGGCATTCTTTAGTATCGCAAACTTCCACACAACTAGTTGAAGCAATTATTTAGTAAACAAAACAAAAAAGAGATGCTAGAATATTCAGATGGGAGTGTCGACTTCGATGCATGTAGTGCACTGCTGATTATAATGCAAGACTGAATGTATCGAACGATGCAATGTTCTATATCTATAGATACAAAGCGAACATAGATGTAGAGAGTAGAAGTTAATGAAGCCTTCGCACGCATAAAATCAGGATGCATCCAGCGTCAAATAGAAAAAAGTCTATTTAGTATACAAGTTTCATGCCTAATGAGATGGGATTGCACAATTTTACCGGAGTGCATGACTATACGCCAAGTGTATGCCAACTTTTTGAAGTTGAAAAATGCACGGCTAAAGCTCCCGAGCGTGCACAAAGCTTCTATACTGGTACTCCGACCGCTCGGGTTCGTTTTTAAGACCATTAGGCATGATAACCCCTGACTAAAACTCGCACATGCAATTGAGAATCGTGCTTCAATGCAGAATACAACACTTCTATCTCGATGGAGGTACACTGGCTACACTGACATCTCCTACTGTCACACTGGTTTGTGATATGGGATTGCACAAATTGATCAAATTAATCACATATCGGCATTGTTCTCCGGCGGGGCTTCTACTTTAAAAAACAAAACAAAACAAAAATCTCGTACTATAAAGTACCATAATAGTCTCCGATGTCGACATTTCTCACATGGCATTGCATCATTGACTCTTACATGTCAAGGAATTGCCGACATGAAAAGTGGAGTTCGGAATAAAAGTACAATCTTGTTGTGTATGTGGTACACTTAAACAATATATACGAAACTTTAGTCGCTTGGCCGTATATCTTCATTATGGATTGGATACAGCTGCACACCAGACGAATAGTAATGACCCAACAAAGTGCAGATATATATCTCGTTCATACCCGACATGAACACTTTGAGTGCCAGTGTGTAGCTCTCAATCAGGCTCAAACGAGCCCATCAAATTCAAATATACAAAAATATGCATTTTTTCATGATTTCATACCAAGTCGCAAACACTGAACTTTGCCAGCCGGCAACCAAGTAGTCGGGAAGTATCGAGCTGTCAGTCAGGGAACTCCTTATGCGTATTCGGCGTGCGAAATCTGAGCATACCTTCGTTCTAAATAAGACGATAGAGACAAATACTGTAGGAATCACAAAGCTGAGTAGCCACAATATGCCTGTTAAGTATAAAAGTGTAAATATGCCTAAGTATATTGCTAATCTTGTCCATTGTGCGTTTGTGCGTTTGATGATTGGAGAGAGCACTCTGTGCATTCGGCGCAGTACCGTCATCGTGAACTATGTATGGGATCCAGAGACAGATAACGTGTATTGTATGCTATAACTTCCATACATGGTATGCTTAGTAAATAACTAAATAGTTTTATATTGATGGTTCACGCACGTCGCACGAGCCGGTAGAGTTTGTATTATATGTAGTAGTAAATAGTATTAACTTTAATATACGGAATAGGATTACAAACCGAACGCTAAATACTTCCTTATCTTTTCATCGACACCACCCAGATTAGTTTGAAATAACAACATATGTCGCAAAAGGTCCAGAATTGTTATCCGATATGTAGAAGGTTATATGTAGTACTCATTAATTTGCGACATTTTATATATTCTCTCAATTTATGAATTTCTTGTTGCAAATTCGCATCTCTATTTTAATTTTTGTGGCCTCTCCCTGGTCCCCCTCCGGGCCCACCCCTGTTAGGTTGTGAGGCGGTGTGTGGTTCAGAATCAGTTGTTAGCTTTGCATGCCTCTCTATCTCTCGTGTTGATGTATATAAAGTATGTACAACTTTTTAATTAATATGTTAACACACAAGACAATATATATATTTTATAAGTGGTTATATAACAACATATATATATTATACGAAGAGAAGGCTATATTGCACACTCTACTAACAAGGGGGTTGTCAATGGGGCGATGACCTACAAATGTATTTAAGGGGGAGTTATTTTGGTCGGTAGCAAATGGTGCCACAACATTGTCATACCTAACTCTTTATCCTTGTATGATTTAGCATGCTGTCAACTGTCGCCATTTGTGAAATAGTATACTATCAACTGTCGCATAAATCCATCTTCACTCTATTTGCGAGGGCGGTCAAATCAGTCTATATTCTGTTAAATTTTCACCGGGACTGATATTTACTTCGTTGTGAATCCGCAGTAGCAGGATTCTACTTGTAGTTTCCTAT